AGGCTATTCCAGGTATCTACTACCCTTTCTATATCACTGTTACTGCTCCCACTGGAAGGCTATCCCTGGTATCTACTACCCTTTTTATATCACTGTTACTGCTCCCACTGGAAGGTTATTCCAGGTATCTACTACTCTTTCTATATCACTGTTACTGCTCCCACTGGAAGGCTATTCCAGGTATCTACTACCCTTCCTATATCACTGTTAGCCTTTACTGATCCCACTGGGGGGCTATTACCCATGTAAGGGGGCGAATAATAAGAAGCTAAAACCTTGTATTATTGGTCATTGGAATGATGAATTGTTCCTGATGCTTCCTGCAATTTAATCCTATTTAATCCATTTTCTTGGCTACAATTCTTAATTGTCTTATCTGAACCTATTATCCATATACGATTCATTCAATTAACCCGTGGGGCCTCTGGACAGAATGTATGGTTACCACAACTGATAGAGGAGTGCCATTATTTTGGCTGCTGTTCTCACTCTTTTTCTCCTTATTAATGGTATTTGTGTTATACGGTATTTATTTGTGGATAATATAGATGTGATGGTGAATCGATGACGTGTATTTTTGGATGTATTCTAGATTTTTACTTTATATGTTGTACATTTTTCTAAAAAGAAATTAATTTTAAAAAGCCTTGCTTCACAAGGGGTTAAAGCCCTGTATGCAGATCTAGCCAAGTTCCTCTTTTTGAGTCCAAGCGGTTAGAACTGCTTCCAACCGTAAACTGTGCTTCCCGAATCTGCACTAAACCAAGGTGTTCTTTCAGAATTCCAGAACTTGGTCTATAGTGAGGTGTGCATTCTAGAATTGTATTATGTACTCTAAAGCAAACCGTGCTTCCAGAATTCTAGAAAACAAAAGGAAAGGATCAGTGCTCTCTCTCTAAGCAGCACACAATAAAGGATAAATATATGGGTGTCAGCACACCGAAATAATAGGGCTCCCTCACAGGCCCTATAACATAAATGGTACAAGCAAAATAAAAAGAAGGTAGCGCCACTGGGGTTATATGAGATAAATGATGAATAAATATACAGCAAATACAACTTAGCTTGTTGTTTTTGCTGTATATTTATTCATCATTTATCTCATTTAACGCTAGTGGCGCTACCTTCTTTTTTTTTGCTTGTTCCAGAATTCTAGAACCTTGTCTGAAGCCTGGAGTGCTTCCAGAATTCTAGAACCTGAACAGAGACCTGGAGTGCTTCCAGAATTCTAGAACCTGGTCTGAAGCCTGGAGTGCTTTCAAAATTCTAGAACCTGGTCTGAAGCCTGGAGTGCTTCCAGAATTCTAGAACCTGGTCTGAAGCCTGGAGTGCTTCCAGAATTCTAGAACCTGGTCTGAAGCCTGGAGTGCTTCCAGAATTCTAGAACCTGGTCTGAAGCCTGGTGTGCTTCCAGAATTCTAGAACCTGGCCTGAAGCCTGGTGTGCTTTCAGAATTCTAGAACCTGGTCTGAAGCAAGGAGTGCTTCCAGAATTCTAGAACATGGTCTGAAGCCTGGAGTGCTTCCAGAATTCTAGAACCTGGCCTGAAGCCTGGAGTGCTTCCAGAATTCTAGAACCTGGTCTGAAGCCTGGAGTGCTTCCAGAATTCTAGCACCTGGTCTGAAGCCTGGAGTGCTTCCAGAGTTCTAGAACTTGGTCTGAAGCCTGGTGTGCTTCCAGAATTCTAGAACCTGGTCTGAAGCCTGGTGTGCTTCCAGAATTCTAGAACCTGGTCTGAAGCAAGGAGTGCTTCCAGAATTCTAGAACCTGGTCTGAAGCATGGAGTGCTTCCAGAATTCTAGAACCTGGTCTGAAGCAAGGAGTGCTTCCAGAATTCTAGAACCTGGTCTGAAGCCTGGAGTGCTTCCAGAATTCTAGCACCTGGTCTGAAGCCTGGAGTGCTTCCAGAATTCTAGAACCTGGTCTGAAGCCTGGTGTGCTTCCAGAATTCTAGAACCTGGTCTGAAGCCTGGAGTGCTTCCAGAATTCTAGAACCTGGTCTGAAGCATGGAGTGCTTCCAAAATTCTAGAACCTGGTCTGAATCCTGGAGTGCTTCCAGAATCCTAGAACCTGGCCTGAAGCCTGGTGTGCTTTCAGAATTCTAGAACCTGGTCTGAAGCAAGGAGTGCTTCCAGAATTCTAGCACCTGGTCTGAAGCCTGGAGTGCTTCCAGAATTCTAGAACTTGGTCTGAAGCCTGGTGTTATTCCAGAATTCTAGAACCTGGTCTGAAGCCTGGTGTGCTTCCAGAATTCTAGAACCTGGTCTGAAGCAAGGAGTGCTTCCAGAATTCTAGAACCTGGTCTGAAGCATGGAGTGCTTCCAGAATTCTAGAACCTGGTCTGCTTTCAGAATTCTAGAACCTGGTCTGAAGCAAGGAGTGCTTCCAGAATTCTAGAACCTGGTCTGAAGCCTGGAGTGCTTCCAGAATTCTAGCACCTGGTCTGAAGCCTGGAGTGCTTCCAGAATTCTAGAACCTGGTCTGAAGCCTGGTGTGCTTCCAGAATTCTAGAACCTGGTCTGAAGCCTGGTGTGCTTCCAGAATTCTAGAACCTGGTCTGAAGCCTGGTGTGCTTCCAGAATTCTAGAACCTGGTCTGAAGCCTGGTGTGCTTCCAGAATTCTAGAACCTGGTCTGAAGCCTGGTGTGTTTCCAGAATTCTAGAACCTGGTCTGAAGCCTGGTGTGCTTCCAGAACCTGGTCTGAAGCAAGGAGTGCTTCCAGAATTCTAGAACCTGGTCTGAAGCATGGAGTGCTTCCAGAATTCTAGAACCTGGTCTGCTTCCAGAATTCTAGAACATGGTCTGATGTCTGGAGTGCTTCCAGAATTCTACAACCTGGTCTGAAGCCTGGAGTGCTTCCAGAATTCTAGAAGCTGGTCTGAAGCCTGGTGTGCTTCCAGAATTCTAGAACCTGGTCTGAAGCCTGGTGTGTTTCCAGACTTCTAGAACCTGGTCTGAAGCCTGGAGTGCTTCCAGAATTCTAGAAGCTGGTCTGAAGCCTGGAGTGCTTCCAGAATTCTAGAAGCTGGTCTGAAGCCTGGAGTGCTTCCAGAATTCTAGAAGCTGGTCTGAAGCCTGGTGTGCTTCCAGAATTCTAGAACCTTCTAGAACCTGGTCTGAAGCCTGGTGTGTTTCCAGAATTCTAGAACCTGGTCTGAAGCCTGGTGTGCTTCCAGAATTCTAGAACCTTGTCTGAAGCCTGGTGTGCTTCCAGAGTTCTAGAACCTGGTCTGAAGCAAGCAGTGCTTCTAGAATTCTAGAACCTGGTCTGAAGCATGGAGTGCTTCCAGAATTCTAGAACCTGGTCTGCTTCCAGAATTCTAGAACATGGTCTGATGTCTGGAGTGCTTCCAGAATTCTACAACCTGGTCTGAAGCCTGGAGTGCTTCCAGAACTCTAGAAGCTGGTCTGAAGCCTGGAGTGCTTCCAGAATTCTAGAAGCTGGTCTGAAGCCTGGTGTGCTTCCAGAATTCTAGAACCTGGTCTGAAGCCTGGTGTGTTTCCAGAATTCTAGAACCTGGTCTGAAGCCTGGAGTGCTTCCAGAATTCTAGAACCTGGTCTGAAGCCTGGAGTGCTTCCAGAATTCTAGAACCTGGTCTGCTTCCAGAATTCTAGAACCTGGTCTGAAGCCCGGTGTGCTTCCAGAATTCTAGAACCTGGTCTGAAGCGCTTCCAGAATTCTAGAACCTGGTCTGAAGCCTGGAGTGCTTCCAGAATTCTAGAACCTGGTCTGAAGCAAGGAGTGCTTCCAGAATTCTCGAACCTGGTCTGAAGCTTGGAGTGCTTCCATAATTCTAGAACCTGGTCTGAATCCTGGAGTGCTTCCAGAATTCTAGAATCTGGTCTGAAGCATGGAGTGGTTCCAGAATTCTACAGCCTGCACTAAGCCAATGTGTTTTTTCAGAGTTCCAGAGTCTACAGTGAGGTGTGCATTCTAGAATCCAGTCTGTGGGAAGATGTGATCTCAGAATTCTGGAATGCAAAATAGAAAGTGTGACTGTTATAATGTATGGTTTCATTCTCAAAATACCTCCAGTCTATTTTATTACTATTATCATGGTACTTAGCAGGTGTTGCTCTAGTTATGGCAGTACAGTTTTTGGTTTTATAAGTTTCCCTGGCATACTGACCTAGGGTGCTCCCCTAACCTTAGCATTGTCCTCTTAAGCTTACATCCTGAGTTACGATTTACGCTATTATTGAGACTATTTCCCTCACATGTTAAAGAATCGCTATACTCACCCAGACCAGGTCATCTCAGTGAAGTAATCTGTGTGCAGTGCCCCTGGCCCATAGCTCCCGTAATGTAAATCACAGCCATTCTGAAATTATGGTGATGTTTCTTTAAATTGCAGGCTAAACACGTGTCTAGCGGCTCACGCCCCAACTGAGCCATTCTCAGTTCTGTGACGTTTAACTAACATCCTCTAATTCTCAGAGAAAACCCACTGGATTCAATCCTTCTCTATGAGAAACATTTGATTGGAGGGGCGTAACTTTTGCTGCGCATGCGCTTCTCATCCACACCTCTTCATCTCCTGTCACTCCATCTGAAAGGAACCCACGTCAGTGTTGTATTCTATGGAGGATCCCACAGGAAAGTGGGATAGTCCCTACTTTTTCTTACATATCTTTTAACTATGTTGGTATTTCAGTTAAATTCCAAAACAATAAATGTATTTCAGAAAGATTTTAACTTTATGAAATAATCATTTTGGAGAGCTTCCAGAAATGCTATCAGCATGTTTCTGAGTATCTCTAAACAGCGATGTATACACAAAACATCATATTCTAGCTAGGAATCATATGAACAGAATGATAATTATTATTTATTTGTTTTTAAACAAAGGAACGTGGTCAGACTGACATAACATGACTGTGGCTTTAAATTGGAACTGATATATAGGAGATTATAGAACATTCTAGTCATTAATAATTTCACTTTTCTTTTTAACTTTAAATGTTACATTTATCTTATTGAATGCAATGGCAAACTTTTCTGTGTTTGCTCTCTGAATATTCGAGCAGTGGATTACAAGATAATGTTTAACAATCATCCATAGGCAGATCATCTTAGCAAGATGGCTCCATCTGTCGTCCGTGATGCATGACTTACCTTAGCACGCTGCATCGATGGGACACAGGGCGTCTTTACACGCTGCATCGATGGGACACAGGGCGTCTTTACACGCTGCATCGATGGGACACAGGGCGTCTTTACACGCTGCATCGATGGGACACAAGGCGTCTTTACACGCTGCATCGATGGGACACAGGGCGTCTTTACACGCTGCATCGATGGGACACAGGGCATCTTTACACGCTGCATCGGTGGGACACAGGGCATCTTTACACGCTGCATCGATGGGACACAGGGCGTCTTTACACGCTGCATTGATGGGACACAGGGCGTCTTTACACACCACCTGAGGGTGCCAGACCCTGTAAGGACATCTTTGCTTGTAGTGCTTAGACTGACCTATACTGGCGGCCTTGTGTTTTGCTATAAGCTGTTGTGAGTAAAGTTGGAACATTCCCTTACACATGAAGCATCAAGGATGCCAAGGTAATTTGCATCACATGCCAGGATATGCCACAAGATAACAATATATATATATATATATTTATTAGCTAACGCAATTGTGGCTTTCAGGGCTTTTGCACAATCCATATCGTCACTTTGAGGCGGAGAAGGTAATATGCAGATTGTGCACACCGACACCTAGTGGTTTAAATGAGCAATGCAGCTCCAGATACTTTCATTATTGATCTGCCTCTTTTCCAGATTTAAGCAACACTAATTTTCTTTTTCAGGTTTTCCTTCTTCTGTTCCACACTAGCTAGTAGACTCAGTCTGTCTCTGTATTAAATCAACCATTTATAGACACTCTACAAAAAGTTGGGCCCATATCCAGTTCTTCACTCAGAAACAACTAATTGAAGTGTTGAATCCAAACGGTGTGAGCACCTGCCACGATCAGATTACAATTTAATAAAACACGTTTAGAGCGGTGGGAGAGCACATTATCATTGATTTGACAGAGCTTGTCAGCATTACAAATATAATAACCTTTAAGTGTTATTTAATATGTTTGTTTATATTACAAATTCAAAGGTAACAAAAATAAATTAATTAGTGATAAAAAAAAGTCTCAGAAATGGAATCAGATGAAAATTGATATTTTATTCTACGTTTCAGGAGATTCCTCTTTTTCAAAAACATCCACATTTTGGTAGTATTTCCAAGCCTTGAAGTTGCAGGATTTCAGGATGGACCCCAGCTGTCTTCCAGGGCCCATTTCTAATGTTCGGGGGAAATCTACCCCCTTTTTCCTTTCATAGATGGCATGCATTGTTTGTTCCCACTTTACAGGCGAGACCAGCTGTTTGACAAGCAGTTTGCTGATTACAGAGGCGTGCTTATAGCGCTTGCCATCAATATTACAGTAAACGGGGACATACGGCTGCTTAAACTCCAGGTTCTTGAGGGCTTTTTGCAGGGGTTCCATAGCAGGTGCCATTAACGGAGTGTGAAAAGCACCACTTACCGGTAGCATCTTTGTGCGCAGGAAATGGTATTTTCGTGAATTTCTCTGCAGATACTGCAAAGCCTATGATGGGGTGAAAAAACACAAAAAAATATACAACAGAATTTGCGCAAGAAAATATATCTAAAATCTTCCTACAAAAAGCAGTGAGGGGACACTATTGGACTACAACTCATCTAAGTCTCAGCCAGATTAAAGGATGTGTTATGGGTTGCCTTCTACACAGTTACTTTCTCACATGAATATTATATTAAATCTGTCATCAGATAAAAACAGAATTTCCACACTGTTATCGCGGCCTCCTTATTTCCTGCTTCACTGAACTGAAAATCCCAAGACACAAGGCCGGATTTAAATCTCCTACTCTGGACACTGATAATTATTATAAATGCTAATAATAAGTACTCTCACAGCGAGACAAGAGAGGTAGGTTCACTCGCTGTTATATGGCCTTAGAATAAACACTCACCTGTCAATATATAGTCAGACGGAGGGAGAAAGAGTAAGTCAGTCCTTGTTTGTATAGAGTAAATGAGATTAATTTTAAAGTAACCGTCCCAAAAAAACACTTTGGGGTTATCCATTAGACAGGACACATATAAAGTAGTGTCACATACCTCTATATTTCCTGCAATGACCCTGCCATCCGGGAACAGGTAATTTGCAACATCGCACACTACATTTTCCAAGCCTATAGATTTGCAATGTTCTCGAGCTTCTGCGCACGCAACATTGTACTTTGAATGAGGACGGCCAATTACAGACAACATTCCACTGGGCACAGCGTCTGACGCCCGCTGCATGGCCTCCGCCCGAGCCTTCACAGCATACAGCGCTACAACATAGAGGGTTAAACAAATCAGAAAAGGCACAAAGGAAACGCAAATCACCTCGTAAACATATCAGATGTGGTTCGTTCACCGAACCTATCAAAAGAGACTGACTAAAATAGATTACTTGTTTTCTGATCGCCTCGAAATCTTGCAGTTGATCTGCCAATTTAAATGGATATGCCAAGCACCATAACCACTACATCTCACCATGTTTGGCGTATGGTGATTCACTAGACTAATTTGTACATGGAGGGACCACACACCAGCTACCCTTGGATCCTGAAACCCTCACAGGCATACTGCAGGAAAAATATCTAATGTTTGAGCCTTGTCCGCTATTACACGCGAGAATAAAAAGGACAGCAAACTGTGGGTGGAGAGAGATCTTAAAGGGGAAGTATGGCATCCTCCTTCTATCCTTGTATCAGTGAACAGTATCTCACTATCAGGCGAGTTCAGAAAGAGTATCTCACAGGCACTTTGCTCGTGTACTTAGTTTGCATCTCCATCTACCCTTACTGGCATCCTAAACTAATCTGCTCAGAATTATAGCCATGCCAATACACATACATTGCACATGCCAGCCACTTAGACCAACCAGGGGCAATCAATGAAAGAGGTATTAGATGGCACATTGGAGACACCATTTGGCAACATAAAACCATGTGAATTTATCAAATAGAATTATAACTAGAAAGGGTTTACTGTTTCTTTAAGAATCAGAAGCGTTTCAGAACAAATAAATCTGTTAATGTGAGAAATACATTAGGGGTTAAACTGTTCCCATTTGATACAAAGGCTAAATAAAAAAAAGGGTCACTTAAAACAGCATGTACTAAATGAAATATTAACGAAAAACATATTCTTAAAGGACCACTATAGTGCGAGGAAAACAAACTCTTTTTCCTGGCACTATAGTGTTAATAGCCTCCCCCCCCGCCCGCAGGGCTCTAGGGGGAGGAAGGGGTTAAAGGCTTACCTTTCTCCCTCGGCGCTGGGAACTCTCCTCCCTCTTCCACCGAAAGCGCATGCGCGGCAAGAGCCACGCACACCTTCAGCCAGTCTCATAGGAAAGCATTCTCAATGCTTTCCTATGAACGCTGGCATCTTTTCACTGTGAAAAAAGCGCCTCTAGCAGCTCTCAATGAGACAGCCACTAGAGGCTGGATTAACCCTAATATAAACATAGCAGTTTCTCTGAAACTGCTATGTTTACAGCAGACAGGGTTAAAACCCTAAATGGACCTGGCACCCAGACCACTTGATTGAGCTGAAGTGGTCTGGGTGCCTATAGTGGTCCTTTAAATCTCACTGAATCTTGTGTTTTGTAAAACAAATTACTTTAAAAACAATGTTCTGAGTATCATGGGTAACATAGTCCAAAATCTTTGTTAGAGTGAATGTTAGTCATCACTACACAGACACCAATACAAAGCACTGTTCACAGTGCCAGCTTAGAGGGTTACTCCAACCACCATGACAACTTCAGTGATTAGAAGGTGGTCGTGGTGGTAATAATCTGTATGTGCAGTCTCTCTGCTGGTATTCTGCACATACAGAGTAATCTGCACTTGTGTGCTGAGGGTTAGTTACACCGGCAGAAATGACTTTGGCAGCCTGGAACTCTGTGCCGGACTACCTAATGTCAATTCTGGGCGTACGATAACGTTTGTTGTCAGTGCACACAGCAGGCTCTGCCTGTAAGGGGACTGTTTTCATCCGCTCCCTCTCTCTGTGCCCTCCCACCTTCCAATAAAACCAATATTACTATTTTTTTTTAAAATAGTAATATCACCTCCTGACCACCCAGTCTCCCCCCTCAACTTGCTTGCTTAGATTTTGCATATGCGCTTGGAGCTGGCGAGACAGCTTATCACACTGCCGCAGGAGGCCCTGGCTGATTCCACCCCTGTTTTACTGCACAGTTAAGGGTGGTGGGAACCTAATTAATAGTGGCTAATAAGGCATTTTACAGAGAAAGAGCTCCCCCCTTTAGAAAAAATGGATGGAGTAACCATTTAAGCTCTGCCAGTTCATGTTTGTAGTTCCTTGAAAATGTAGGAGAGGTTTGTGCTCAGGTGTCAATACCTTCTGTAAAATCTAGCGCACCGGAAAAAACAAGAGCTGCGAATTCCCCAACGCTAAATCCTGCAACTGCAACACAATTGTCAATAGCCTGGGAAAAAACAAACGAAAAAAACAGATCAGACATTCGGTATCAGTAAATTATCAGGAATGATCATCAGTTTGCTTTAACAAAATATGTGGCTTTATCTAGAACACATCAAGATTAACTATAAAAATAATAACTGGGGTAACCCCAGGATTTATCTGAATAATAATATCGAGTTGGGGATGTTTCCTGATTCAGCTACTTTGGCTAAAATCTGCTATTCCCATTTCAGAGATCGGCAGACTAGGTATTGACTTTTTCTGCTGTGATTATCACGGAGCATACAACTGGATTCGGCATGGTACTTACTGTAGGGTCTTCATGGCTCAACTTTTCGGTGGCAGCCAGGGACGTCACAAACACAGCAGGCTGGCAGTGTACAGTTCTACTGAGTACCTCCTCAGGACCATGTAGGCACAGCTCCAGCAAGTCATATCCCAACACCTTGTGCGCAGCATCAAACATTGTCCTGACATTGGGGTAATTCAAGAGCGCTCTAGCCATCCCAACCTGCTGGCTACCCTGACCTGGAAAAAGCAGCACTGTGCTATTAGTAGGGGACCGTCTGGCAGGTGTGAGGTCCACCTCTGACATCTCCAGAGCTTTGGTGATATCTTCAGAGCCTTCCAACAATTTAGATATATCTTCTGACCCAGCCAGCACTTTAGGGGGGTATTCTGACCCAGCCAGCACTTTAGGGGGATCCTCTGACCCAGCCAGCACTTTAGGGGGATCTTCTGACCCAGCCAGCACTTTAGGGGGATCCTCTGATCCAACCAGCACTTTAGGGGGGTCCTCTGACCCAGCCAGCACTTTAGGGGGATCCTCTGACCCAGCCAGCACTTTAGGGGGATCCTCTGACCCAGCCAGCACTTTAGGGGAATCCTCTGACCCAGCTAGCACTTTAGGGGGATCCTCTGACCCAGTCATACCTTTGGGGGGATGATGCCCCCTCTCCCAGCCTCCAGCAGGTGCTGACTGCCACCTCTGCCATTGCACATGGGGTACAATCCTCCTGCAGAGCAGGGCCCTGGAGAGAGCTGTGCTCCCCATTATTGGAAGGACCTGGGTTTAGCTGCACTGCACAGCCATGCTGCTCTCTCTGATCAGCAGTCACATGGAGTCGCTGCCCTCTGCATGATACTTCCTGGTTCCAGTCACTAACACCTTCCCCGGAAACAAGGAACAAACTCCAAGGTTCCTACAGTAAAAATGTCACTTGCAGGGACAGAAAGTGGGGTGTCAACTTTTACCAAACTGGGTTATTCAATAAATATAATTTATTTACTGAACAGTGAATTGTAGTGAAATTAAATCTGAACTGGAAAATATAGATAAAATACATGATTAAAATAAGGAGTCGCGGGGCGCATGTCTTATGGCCGTGCTATAGTCATCCTGTGTTTTCCTCGAGGACATTTATCCGAACATGTTTCACCGATTGCTTTATGGTTATTTTTCTAGTAGACGTTATTGCCTTCGTGAATAAAGAGTTAAAAAATATCACTGATTTGGAGAAATTCACAAAATGAGTAACTTTGCCTAAATTTTGCAATTCAGTTTTCATTTCACTACAATTTGAAGTTTAGTGGAAACATGTGACACGATTATTTACTTATGTGAGAATTCAAAATGAATTTCAAATGTCAGGCCGGAGTAGCTGGAAGCAGAGCCACGTTAGGGAATTTTCCAGTTTGGTTTCCTTTGACCCTAATTTTGATTTTTCTTTGAATTCTCACTTTACTGAATAAACCCTGACTGTCAGAGTTATCCAGTCTTTAGTGTCCCTGTCCCTAGTTATATAGCCCCCTGTGTGCGCTTGCTACTCACCTCTGTCCAGCTCGGAGTTCCCCTTGGGGCTGTTCACCTTCACTCCTCCTGCAACATATGGAGGACGCAAGGTTTCTTCTAAGATGCACCGATCCAATGATTCTCGTAGAGACATGAAGCGCACGTGCGGCCAATCCAAACCTCCCTGTAGATTTTACTTGAGGTAAAAACGCTTCCCGTGACAGTATTACCTTGAATTGTTAAATTGACAGTACCATGGCACCCAGACCACTTTATTGAGCTGACGTGGCCTGGAAATTTTAATGTCCTTTAATAGTAAACATTCCACTTCCGAAACACTTTAATTTTAGGGGTGTGAGTGTTTTCTTTTCTGAAAAGTTTTGATGACTCCCAACTGTCCTGAATTTGATGTGACAGTCCTAATTCTCGGGTCCTGTCCCGCCGTCCCACCTTTGTTCAGCTTTTGGGGATACCAGGAAACTGTCCCCGACAATCATAGCACAGGCGCACCAATAGACGCACTCACGCAATGATTAGGCATGAGCAGGGTGAAAAGATCAACCATATTTTTAGGGACACATATCATTTTATCATATTTATCAAAACTCATGAAAAAGGTGGCCCTGCAGTGTGTATAATGCATATTCTGTAGGATTCTTCATTGCCTAATTGCTTAATCTTATACACATTGTTCTGAATTTTACAGGGCTACCCTTTTCATGCCGTGCCCTGAAAACATGGTGGATCTGTTCACCCTGGGCATGAGGGACCTTCAGGGAGGACTGAAACAGTGGTTCCTGCTGGGCCGGCCCTCATGATTGACAGGCAGACTGGCACGCATTCACACCAGGCTGACCTTGGTGGACCCGCCCCTTTTCCAACAGGTCCGCCATTTTGTGGCAAAGCTAGTGACATGATCGCTTCACTGGCCTTCCCATCGTTACTTCCCTCCCACTGACATCCTGATTCTTTGGCATCCCAAATAGGGAGGCATGCTTACTAATAACAAATTATACACTAAAATATAATTTATAAGAAAAGCAATGTATCTTATTTACACAGACTGATTTCTAAACACATTTATTGCAGTTTAAAGGGACACTATAGGCGCCCAGACCATTTCATCTCCCTAAAGTGGTCTGGGTACTGTGACCTTGTTCCCTTAAAACATTGCAGGATTAAAACTGCCTCCAGTGGCTGTCTACCAGACAATGCTTCCTGTAGGTTCACAGAGTGTGAATCCGTGAAATTACACTTGTGCTCAGCAGGGGTTAATTCAGACTGACACATAATAACAGCAAGTAATGCATAACAAAATAAGGCACAGAAACATAATAATAAAACACAGACTCAGATGTGTGCTGAAAAGGCTGTGGTCTTTTATTTAGTTTACAAATTATACAAACATAACTTATTAACTTAAAAACACGTCATTTGTAACCAAACATCTCTGGTCTTTAAACCCCCAGAGATTTAACACATAACTCACCAGAGTTCTGCCCTATTAGCCAGAACTTAAACCAAATGATAACAAAACTCAGCTAGTCCACCCCGCTTTAAATTAGGCAGGTGACGTCAACTCCACACTAATGCTGCAGCCCACTCCACCAGACCACGGCCTTATCGATCATGCACTGTAAATTGTTATTAAAATAACCCGACATCAGATAAATGAATACCATCTCTTATGAACAAGCCTTCGCACTGCCCCTCAATGTCGACATGGCGAAAAGAAAAACCACCAACTGATGGCATAAATTTCTCCATGGCTTTATTAAGCTTGCGCCGAACTTTCTCTAACGCTTTAAGCTTAGCATTGCACAACCAAATTAACCTTGGGACTATTTAAGACCAAATAATTAGCGAGTCCGGGAACATTTGCTTAAAATGAAGCACATCATCCTTAAGTTGAAGAGCAAAACTACTGACTTAACCCGGCCCACATCATTACCACCATAATGAAAAATAATAACATGAGGCCAAGAAATTTTGCCAAAACAACCTTGTAAAATGTTAAAAACAGTGTCCCTTAACAGAAGCCTTACACCAACCCAATAGATTAGAACAGACTCCTTATAAAAAAAAAACTCAAGTTCTCGCCATATGACCTTTCCACAGCTCTTCTACGTGCCCAGTGGATGAAAGAATGGCCTACTATCCATATAATCACAGGTCTCGTATCTGAAACAGAAAGAAACAAGTCAGTAATAAAATCATTAAGGTCTAACATAAATGTTAAATCTGCCTGAGGACCATCGACCAACTTTTTTAATCACTTCATTCGAGAGACCATGTGATACAGCCTCTGTTACAACACCAATACGAAACGAATGAGAAGTAATCCTCTTATCATTAATACCCAGCCCTTTACATGATAACTGAAGAACTTTCCGAAATTGAAATTTAGAAAGAGGGACCCCTGACCGGTGTATCAAAAGACTGCCTTGACCTTTTGGACGAATATTTAAATAAACCCTGACTGCCTTAACTGGGCATAATGAATGAAGTATAGCTCGTAACTGAACCCATTGACCTTTCCCTTGCTGGTTAGCTTTCGATCTTCTTAACAAAATTCTTAAAAATTCATTTTGCAAATGAATGTCCTTAACTTGGATGCCTGAATGGCAAGACTTGTTAGCAGAAACTAATTCGCTAATTCTAAAAACTCAAAAAAAATGCCAAAATTAAAGCAGTAGTAAAAAGTCGGGTCACAAATGCATCTTTACAACCGGAGCTCAAATTCTCTACCAAATCACCCAATAGTTGAAAAGAGATAGGGGACCTCTCATCTCGGACTGGCGGTTTCTTTATCCAGGCCCCCTTTAACATTTGCTGAATAATGAATTTCTTAAAAACAGACTTTTCCCTAATACTTTACGTAAAAAGGAAATGTCTAATAGGGCTCTTTTAAAAGAAAACTTACAATGGCCTGAATTTCTGTAATCACATATTGAATTGCATCCTGTATAGTGGGATCAGTAGCGTCCCTATTTAAATTAGGCATAAACTGCTGCCATTCTTCCCACGCCTTTAGGCATGCTCCCCAAGTGGTTGTAGATAACGATAAACCCAGTAATTGGCTTATCTGGGTGAAGTTAGCTCCCGGATAAGTTCTGGCAACCTCGTTCCAACTTCGTCCGCTAGAGGTGCAAGGTATCTGAAAGACTTGAAGTCAAAACTGGACAAGGCATCAACTATACGATTACTTTTCCCACTTACATGCTTTGCTTTACCCATATATTATTCACCAAACAAATAAATAGCAGACATCTCAGTAAATCGATCACCGGGATACATTTTGCCCCAAGGGAATTGATTTCCCAAACCACCCCTAAATTGTCACAATGAAAAGTAATCCTCCTGTTTGCTAATTCAGAGCCCCAAACCTCCAGGGATACAACTATTGGAAATAGCTCTAAAAGAGAAATCATTCTTGTCCAACCATACTCAACCCACGACTGGGGCCAACCAGCTGCTTTCCCATCTACCATGAAAGTATATACCAAAGCCTTGAGACCCAGCTGCATCCATGAAAATATCCAATAATATTGGTATAAAATATCCAATAATGAAAGAATATTGACATATTCATCATTCCATATTTTTTCTGTCTGCGCACTGTCCGCGCGGACCTCTGTATAGACAGTTCACGAGGGCACTGCTGTTGCTGAATGCCCTTGCGACTAAGGCTATGCGCGCCGCAACTTGACCCCTAAATATCCCCGTGATGCACATGTGTTTTTAGTCAATTGCGTAGGTAGATTCTGAAAGTCCTCAGGCTTTGGATGAAGTCGTCCAGCTTGTTAAAAACCTCATAGAAAAGCACATTAGGTTCCCCCATCAGCTGGTGTTGGCAGAGAAGGAGCCCAAGCCAGATGCAGGCGCTGGAATCTGATGAGGATTTAACTGACGCTGAGTGTACTCACACAGAGCATGACGACGTCTAGCGTCAGCTAGGTAACCAAAAGTCGCCTAGCAAATAAAAAGTGCCTCTAGTGTCAATTAATTTATTACAGTTTCTCAGAAAGTGCAATGATTTACATTGCGGGACTAACCAGGGCAGGGACTCTGAGGACAATGAGCTAAAGTGGTCTGAGTGCCTATAGCGTCTCTTTAAAGACACATTACTGTCAGTAATTTTGTTTGTCTGTTTGTTTGTCTGTTTGTTTGTTTTGCTGTGGAGCTCTGACAAACACTCACAGGATTGTTTACTAAACAATTTCCAGTTCTGTTATTTTCACCTTGAATTGGAAATTCACTCTTAGTGTTATTCACTATAGTGAGAATTTTATTAAGATAGAATCTCTCTATAATACTCCTATTTACTTTGTTGGAATTTCACTGATATTCCAACACAGTCAAGAGATATAGTCTAGAAGTGTCAGTCCCATAGAAGAAGATGGTGGCACCCATGATGGAAAGGTTCAGGTAAGTAAAACCTAGCTTTGCCTACCCTTCCCGGCCACCCGGCCCCCACTGGTGATGTCACCGTGGGAGGTCTTTGCAAATTCTGCACCAGATATAGGCAGTTGGTGACAGATGGTGACATTGCCGCCTTAAAGGGACACTAGTCACGTAGACCATTTCATCTCATTGAAGTGGTCGGTGCAATGTCCCCGTCCCCCTTAGTCCTGCAATGTAAAACATGTTTTTGAGTAAGTGCAATAATTACATTGCAGGACTAAGACTGCCTCTAGTGGCTGTCAATCAGACAGTAAAATAATTTATGAGTTTGATTTGAAATAGTGCTCTATGTAAATTTAATTGTATTTTAAAGTATTTACCCTGTTTTATACATAATGAAAAGGCAAACACAAATCCCTGTGGGCTTTATTCACTAAATATTGAATTGTGGTAAATTTATGAAGAAATTGTTGTGAGGAAAAAAATACAATCTCCAACCTGAGCTCTATAATATACTAGTATTTTGTCTCAGACCATGTATTGCCCTTTAAAACTCACAATTTAGTGAATAAACACCTTCCCACTGAGCCTTGCCCTAATCCAAGATGGCGGCTCACTGCTTCTCTATGGGCAGGTTCCATTGGATGCAGGCGTTGCCAGGCTTGCAGGTCACGTGACGCGATCTGCCTGCTCACTGTGAGTGCCAGTAAGCTGAGTGATCTCTTAGAAAGCTGCAGGTAAGTGTACACTGGGGCACCTACTGGGGCAAGGCTTAACACTTTAAACTGACATTAAACTCCAGCCTTCCATGTGTTTACTAAGAGAAATGTCTGCTTTAAAATATATTTAATGTGAAAAAGTCTTATTTTTATATTTTTTTAATGTTAAGAATCCCTTTAAAAATAAATACATACATATATATATACATATATTTTTACTGTATGTGGATTTAATGGAATACATGTATTAATGTTTCTGTTAGTGCAGTTTTCCCAGCTGATTATTTAATAATTCTGATAATAAATCATTCTGTGGGTGCCCCCACGTGGGGCAGGGCAGGAGGAATGAGAAGGTCCAGGGGGGGCAGATATTGGGGGTGCAGTTGTGGGTGAGAGGTTGGATCCCCACCCTGGGGCAGGGCAGGAGGAATGAGAAGGTCCAGGGGGGGCAGATATTGGGGGTGCAGTTGTGGGTGAGAGGTTGGATCCCCACCCTGGGGCAGGGCAGGAGGAATGAGAAGGTCCAGGGGGGGGGGCAGATATTGGGGGTGCAGTTGTGGGTGAGAGGTTGGATCCCCACCCTGGGGCAGGGCAGGAGGAATGAGAAGGTCCGGGGCAGATATTGGGGGTGCAGTTGTGGGTGAGAGTTGGAGGGGCAGGGCAGGAGGAATGAGAAGGTCCAGGGGGCAGATATTGGGTGAGAAGGTCCAGGGGGGGCAGATATTGGGGGTGCAGTTGTGGGTGAGAGGTTGGATCCCCACCCTGGGGCAGGGCAGGAGGAATGAGAAGGTCCGGGGGGGCAGATATTGGGGGTGCAGTTGTAGGTGAGAGGTTGGAGGCTGTCTGTAAGGCACTCCTCTGTTACACAAGCATGATTTTACAGTTTGCACAAACTGCTCAGAGACTGGGAACTTCTACAAACTAACTGGTTTTATCCACCCAGCTCTCTGTCTAGTGAAGGCATTCCAGCTGGTTTGGAGGATTTGTTTGTCCAATTTCTGCTTTTTTTAACCTAAAATGTTCAGTTTTCCAGTGAATTCCTGTCAGTTCACAGCTGGGTGAATACCAGAACTCTTGGTTAAAGTTTGCAAGTCTGCTGTTACATAAACCTTCCAGGAAATGTGCCTGCTTTAAACATTATATAAATCACTATGGTAACCAAGGAAATGTTCATTGCTCCAATTTTAGACATTTATACAAAATCAGCTCTGCTCTTGTGTCTGTTCTGAAGTCACCACAAATTACAGTAAAATGTTAATTAGTTGTTGATTATATTCCTGCAAGCGGAAAGAAATGTGTTGCAATGCATAATGGGAGCTGTTCTGTCTGTTATATGAGCTGGGTGGGGGTAGGACAGTGACCCTCGGAGAGCACAAAAAGGGCTTTATCCTAAACTAGTAATGGACCAGGGCCCTGCAGAATTAAAATTAAAATTATCGAATTGTAAAAATTCTCCACTCTCACCATTTGTCACGCTAGATGTAAAGGCAGGCAGTCGTGTTTGCAGTTAAATAGATGAAAAATCACTTAATTCAGTATAATAGAGTTTGCATTAAGATGAGCCTATATGTTGCCTTTTAGATGTCCCATAGCCAGGCTTTGGCTCTAGCGGAGTTGGAGAATTTTTATAGAGCAAGTCCTGCCATTTGGATTTCTATTTGCTACTATAACCCTATGTGTTTGGCAAGGAGAGGGTTAATATATAAGGCACGGTTTGCTTATATAATCCAAGCGTTTAGGAAACTGGTTCTGAGTTCGCTCCTGTGCATGCTGGAGGAGTTGGGTGTTACAACAGTTACTGTGGGAATGTTTGCAAATACTTGGAAGGCGGATGTCAGAGAAATGACAGAGGGTATTAAAGGCACTTGACGTACAGCGGGGTTAGGAAAAATCATGGTTTTATTCACTAAGCTGTTAATTTTTCTATTTTGGCTATGATTTCTAATTAATTTTGAATTCCTAACAGTTTTTACTTTAGTGAATAATCCTATCAGTTTTTAATTGTGCAGAGTTCACTGCTTAGTAAATAAATCTCGTAGCCTCTACAAGTTGACGTTGGAGTAAGACAATGTTTTTTTGCCGGCGTTCACGAAATGATCCCCTTAGCTCCATGGATAGTCCCCCTGGTGTACGGCCCGAGATAGGTAATCTAGAGATTCCTAGAGAGAAATGCTAACTTCGGCAAACGCCCAATACCTCAAGACAGCTGTAAATTGGAGATAATTGATCCAGACAGCAGTCTCAAAGCTCACGGCGTTCCCTTTAAAGGATTCGACTTACGGCTTTCTGAGTCCTGTATTCCTATGATCACTGCTTTATCTGTAGGTGGTGATGGGCGATTTAGCAGATATTTTAAGGATTGCTTTCTTATCCCATGTCCTGCTGTGACAGGATAACCATCAACATTTTGTAACCATAAATAGTTTGAATAGAGACCTTGTCAACGACCGCCTTACCCCATAACCTCCCCAAGGACATCTGCTCTCTCTATGTTATTGTGCTAGAAGTTTTGTTTTGTTTAAATCAAATTTTATTATATTTTCCTCTGTTTATACAAGATATATAAATGAACACAGGAACCTGTATTTAGAGGACAGCCCATTCATTGCATGTCACTGTTTGGAGGGGAACTTTGTATATAATTATTATTATTGCCATTTATATAGTGCCAATAGATTCCGTAGCGCTTTACAATATTATGAGAGGGGGGGATTTAACTATAAATAGGACAATTAGAAAGAAAATTTACAGAAATGATAGGTTGCAGAGGACCCTGCACAAATGAGCTTACAGTCTATAGCAGGTGGGGTGTAAAACCTATTAGGACAGGAAATAGCAATCAAATAAGCTGGGAGTGAAGCAGAGCTGGAGGAGAGAGTGAAGTGCTGCCCTTTAGGAGAGAACAAGAGACAGGTATGTGAGGTAGAGGTCACTCTGGGAGGTCAAAAGCGTTCCTATAAGATGCAAGACTAGGGGAGAGTCTGATGGCAGTAGCAGGCTATTCCATAGGAAGGGAGCCACCAGCGAGAAGTCCTCCAAGCGTGAGTTGGCCGTACGGGTGCGAGCAGCGTACAGGAGAAGGTCACGGGCAGAGCGGAGAGACAGAGAAAGGGCATACCTATGGATCTGTGAAGAGATATGAGACTACTGCTTTATAGGTATGGGTTAGCACTTTAAATTGACTCCTATAGGATACAGGAAGCCAATGTAAGGACTGATAGAGGGGTGAGGTGTGAGAGGACCGACTAAAGAGGAAAATCAGTCTGGCGGCAGCATTCATTACAGATTATAGCGGGGCAATGTGGAGAGGGTTACAGTAGTCCATGTGGGAAATTACTAGAGCATGGACAAGCTCCTTGGTAGCATCTTGCATAAGAAAGGGGCAGATGCGGGCTATGTTTTTAAGATGGAATCTCCAGGATTTGGCAACATACCGGTTGTGAGGCTCAAAGGTGAGGCCAGAATCAAGTATGATGCCAAGACAGCATGCTTGCAAGGATGGACTTATGTGGATATCACTGACTTGAAGAGAGAGCGAAAGAGGAGGATCAATATTAGGAGGAGGAAAGACAAGGAGCTCAGTTTTAGAGAGATTGAGTTTTAGAAAGCGGGAGAACATCCAATCAGGGATGGAAGAAAGGCAAGCAGTGACATGTTGCAGGACGGCAGGGAAGAGGTTCGGGGGGAGAGATATATCTTCGGTGTCCTCAGCGTACAGTTGGTAGTGGAATCCAAGAGAGGCAGTATAAAGAGAAAATACAAGGGGACCAAGGACATAGCCTTGGGGGACTCCAACCGAGACAGGACGAGGGGAGGCAGCTGTTTCAACAGAGTAACAAGCGCGGAATCCAGACTGAAGCGGGTCAAGCAGATAGTTGGATTTGAGGAAGTCTGTCAATTTTGCATACACAACTCTCTCAAGGATCTTGGAGGCAAATGGCAGTAGGCAATATAGGTGGTTGGATGTGGAGTTGGGTTCAAGGTTGGGCTTTTTTAGAATTGGCATTATGGTTGCATGCTTGATGGGTGAAGGAAATGTGCCGGAGGAAAGGGAGAGATTGAAAATTTTAGTGAGAGGAAGAGCAAGAGAGGGAGACAGAGTGCAGATGAGATATGAGGGATAGGATTGAGGGAACAGATGGTGAGGTGGGAGGACCGGAGCAGAAACCTCTTCCGTTGTAGTTGGTGCAAATGAGCATAGAACAGTGGAGTGAGTGGGGTTTGGTGATGTATTGGGAGGGAGAGAGAGATTGAAAGATTGTAGAAATCGTCTGTGAAGTGAGTTGCAAAGTTTGAGACGGACAGGGTGGTAGGAGGGGGTGGGGAGCAACAGGGCAAAGGAGAGCATTAAAAGTGTGAAATAGGCATTTGGGTTGGTGGAACTGTGTGCGTATAAGGTTGTTGAAGTAATTTACTTTTGCAGAGGAAAGCGCAGCATAAATTTATAGTGGAGGAAGTCGGGTGCAGGTTGAGACTTTCTCCAACATCGTTTGGCAGTTCTGGAAACATTTTTGAGATATTAAGTCAGCTTGGAGTGCCAGGATTGTGATTGGGAACTGTAATACTGTAATATAATAAGCTGTAATAATACACTGAGCTGTAATAATACAATAAGCTGTAATAATACACTGAGCTGTAATAATACAATAAGCTGTAATAATACACTGAGCTGTAATAATACAATAAGCTGTAGCAGTATATTTTGTTGTAGTGTTCATGGTGCTTAATCACCACCCTGAGGTCGTGCTCTGCATCACCATAAAGACCGTCTCCTCTAGATACAGCCAAACGTATATACAGGGATTTGATCAGACTCTGCACCCCGTCCTCTCTAATTCCACGGCTACACCTGGTGCTAGGTAGATTTCTAATCAAAGCTATAATCTTATCTTCTGTTTCTTCTTTCTTTCATGCAGAATGCCTTCCTCTTGGCTTCCCGCCGTTGGATTCACTCTCCTGCCTCACGTGGGAGGAATATTGGGGGGACTGATAACCAGAAGAGAAGTACCAACGTGGTACACCTCACTAGTGAAACCATCGTGGCGCCCCCCAAACTGGATGTTTGCACCCGTCTGGACCACTCTGTATACCTCCATGGGGTATGTGTACCATTTGGGATACTGCTTATCAGTGCCCTAGACAATCCATCCACATCTTTAATACAGGGAAAATCACACTGCTCCGCAGATCACACACTAGTTTACCGTCATGGGAGTGCCTTTGGCTAACGTGTTACATGTTTCAAGCGGGAACACTACAACAGGCCAGTTTCCCAGACGCTGAATACAGCATTAATATTGGGATTCCTTTCTGGCAGTCCGTTCAAACCAAGTCAGTTTAACTAGCAGTATGAGGCTGCTACAAAATCTGGCTTACGTCACTTATGAAGGGGAGGATAAAGTTGGTATGCCTTGAAAACAAAGGGGGGGAAAGCAAAAATCACTGTTTAGTCGACATACCGATAATTAAAACATGCATGCATTTAAATGTTCATTTTTATAACTGAGGGTATCTAAAAACAGCTTGCAAAAGCTGCAGATATCTTGTCTGCAGCCTCCGTAAGCCCCCCACTTCTAATCCCGCCCAGATTTGCATTTATTTCATTGGAATTTTATTTTAAAACGGCAAATCTTTTTTCTGCAGCCTTTAGAAACCTTCCCCTTTTAACCACGTCCAATCTTTCTCTGGGTGTCCAATCACAGGCTTCCCAATGCAGCTTAATGAGAAGTCTTTGCAAGGCATGTCTTCTGGGCAATTGCTGCCTCTTGAGTTTAATTCCACTGAGCTAAACAAACCAGGAAGTAACGGGACCAGTTGATTGACAGCTAGGAGGGGTGTAACAAGGATCATTTATAAAAGTGACAATTTTTATTGAAATCTGCACTTTTTACAAAATAAAAAAAAAAACTGGACACGCTATTCACATATAAAGTATTTCAGCAAACTAAAGTGCTGTCTGGGGCCGGAGGGTTCCTTTAATACAATATAAAAAATATTCTACCAACTAGAGATATATCCTTTGCTTCCTGAGTATGATTTACATCTGGGCTTAATGAGCAGCAAGAGGAGGAATAAACTGCTGACATATCAAATGCAGAGAGAGATAATACAAATGAGACAAATCTAAACCTGTCTCACAGGGGTGCCGGTCTAGTACAGAGTGGGGGCCAGGGACAATAGGTCTCCCCCTCCCCCTGTTGTATTTTAGGGAGTGTTTACATTGCCCCTAGGGACACCTCCAAGTGGTCACTTCTTAGATGGCCTCTGGAGGGGCTTCCTGGCTCAGGGCTGCACAGTAAGCAGCCCTGCCGTTCAGCGTCTCCACGCTCTGCACGGGGACGCTGAATTTTCCTCATAGAGATGCATTGATTCAATGCATCTACACGAGAAGGTCCTGATTGGCCAAAACGGCATTTGGCCTCGACCCCGTGCCGATTTTAGCCGATGGGTGGAGGGGGGGGGGGGGTTAACGGGACAGTAGGACCAACTTAGGTCTTTCGGCCTTTTAGTAGATAGCTCCCTAATTCTCACGGTATGAGTAGGAATTGGAGTTTCATTCATTCAAATGAAATTCCTCTCCGAACAAAAACTCCCGAATTGCGTCCTAACACGAATGGACAAACTGTTCTCATTCTGTTAGGACGAAATTTGGTAATTTCGCCAGCGCTCAAACGCGAACCCGAACGAAGCAGCAGGACGATGGTGATATTGTGGGAAAATTGCTTTAACTGCAGGAAATGGAGCGGAATTTGCTCCTCCCCTGGGTCAAAGCTGGTCAAGCGTAGGAAAAATACATAAGACAAAATAGTCACTACTTTGTCTTATCTATTAAAGAAAACTAGATTAGATAGGAAGAAGAGATCCTGAGAGAGAAGAGGAAGCGATTGGGGAAAGGTAAGTTCAGCATGCTAGGGCCGCTTTAACCCCTTAAGTACATTCCGTCATGATTCCCTTTTATTTCTGAAGTTGTGTACTTAAGGGGGAAATACTGTACTTCGTGCCACGTGAAAATCTCCACTCGAATGAAAAGCGAATGAAGCAGAGATTTTTTTTGAATTATGGCAAAAAGTTTTTTACAATTTACAGCAGTTCCATTTAAAAAAAAATAATATAAACACTATCTGCTGTCACCTGCATTTATTTTGATCGTTGCTATGTCTATACATATAACATTGTGTGTAGTGCAAACCTTGGCAGTTTTGTTTTATATTCTAAACATGAAAATAAAAATTTAACAAGAAAAATGAAACTAATTTCTGAGAGTTCACTCAATATACATTTTACTAGTCAGGAGTTTATTATACACAGTGAAAGAGCGATGTATCTGGCGTTTCCTGGTGAGGCCGGGTCACTGAGTGTTCGGGGCTTACAGAATAATGTTTGCATGCCCTGGATTGGCAACCCAGTAAAGTGACAATATATGTAAAATGTTTGTCTGTTTCGCTCTCTGCTTTGCAGGTACGGATCGTATTTGATCTATAAAGAACTCGGGGGGTTCACTGAAGATGCTGTGGTTCCTCTCGGACTCTACGCAGGCCAGCTTGCGCTCAACTGGGCCTGGACCCCCATCTTCTTTGGTGCCCACAAAATAGGCTGGGTATATGATGATTTATTTACATTTTTGTTGTGCAGTGACACATTCGCAGATTTTCATAAAATAGCAGAATCTGAGACAATAGCAAATACGGTAATATCTGAATATAGAAAAAGATAAATTCTGTCAGGTTAGCATTAAATAATAGGCTACACATTTTAGGTAATAAAATATAGTAAACACAAACGGAGTATTATCACACACACAGTAGTTAGCTAGGATACGTGAGTAAAGTATTCCCTGGGAGAAATGGCCACATATTAATTATTCAAGTAGGCCCTATACCGATCAAATTTCATTCTTTGCCCTTCGAGGGACGAGCACAGTCCTGCAACTAGGCCAACAACCAGAGGGCCAGTAGGTGTGGGAGTCTCATATAAAGTGTGGCTCCATGAGATGCTTCGTCAGCTTCAACACAAGTTGCCAGGTAGGTCCCAGGTCCATGCCTAACTTGGTCGAATGTTTGAAAATCGTTTTTATTTTTTCAGGAATGGTAATAGGTTATACAAATCAATACAGACATAAATTGTGTCTCGGGCTCGTATGCCCGAATAGTATTTGAAAACCTTTTGATCCTTTTCGGGTGAATCATAACGCATTACATCAAACGTTATTCTTGGCGGTTTTATGTCTTGTCTGGATACGCGTTATTAGCAGTCAGTGAGTGATAAGTTGTTGGGCTTGGCGTAATCGAGGGTCTCCGTCTCCCCCCCCTCTCCCGTCCTCAACCTATATAGCTTGGTTTGTCCTTCAGTATTCTCGTGTCCATCTAGTGTAGTCCAACCCTTGGTCCCCCGTGTCCTGCCATTGAATTGGTGGTTCGTGGATGTGGATCCTCAGTCAGGTCGTGTATGTCAGACGTTTTAATAATGGACCTCTTCCAATAACCTCTGGGCTGTTCGCCAGCCTCACTAGCAGTTCTAAGTATAAGGGTGAGGCCTGGGACGTGTTGCCCTCTCCTTTCATATCATTCAGTCCCTCTAATGTTCATGTTTACCTCCAGGGCTGGGATTGGGTTGGTAGCTTCCGAGATTGGGAGGTTGTCATATATTCCTCTCCATTATGTCTAGTATGATCTCTTCTAGGGCCTGTGTCTCACTCAACCTCTTGTATGTTTGTAGTCTTGGTGTGTATGTAAGTGTGCAGTTACCTAGGAATAAGCTTTAGCATAGCCGGAAGGGGAGAGAGATTAGAGGCGTTAGGTTTCCAGTTCCATCCAAGTTCCAATGCACACAGTGATCCCAGGGTCCCTGTCCCTGGGTAGTCATAGTGGGATAGGGAACGCAGTCCGTTAATGTCCCTATGCTCCCCCGCAGGTGTCACCTCCCCCCCGTCTCGTCCACCCTTCTAACGGTTGCGGGATATAAATACAAACCATGGCTGCCATCTCTCTGCATGTTTGTCCCCTCTACCGAGCAAGGAGGCCTGCATCGCCTCCGCACCCTGAATGTCCTCTACCCTTTGGATCCATTCCTCTTCCCGAGGTATCTCTGTTTTCTTCCAGTATGCCAGGATCAGAGCTTTCGCCGCGTTGAGTAGATGACGCATGATCGACTTTTTATAGGTCGCTATCGACATCTCCGTGATGTGTAGGAGTGTCAGTGCAGCCGACCATTCCGGTGTGTAACTTGGTCGAATGTTTGGGGCCTCCGGAGTCTTGGACCTTGGTGTTTAGGTGCATTCTCTCCCTATGCTCACCCTGAATGTAGGGCACACACAGCCGTAGAGTTGACTGTAAGACAAGTATCAGTGACTCATCCTGCAAGGCATGCTGGCGGGTTTGAAGGCTGGACCAAAAGTCCTCAAACAGCATGTCCTGAGCCAGGATAGGGGAGAACTTGTCGCAGGACTCTGCTGAGTGCATGGTGTCTGCCATGTTTAAGAAGATTGGAATACTGCAGGTTACTAGACGATGCGAGTGGATACTGTGACCTAAGCTCTATGTGCTAGGATAACCTTTGTGGTTTGGTGTGGGGTGTATGCTGCTGCTGCTATCAGCCCTCTCCCTCTCAACCACATAGTAGGCCTCTTGTAGGCTGCAGGTCCACCCATGCAAAATCCTTAATGTGCGGTCAGAACTGGTTAACTTGAACCCGCAAGGTTGTAGGACAGCTTCAGTTGCAGTATGACCCCTGATGCAGGGTAGATGATAATTTAATATTATTCCATTAAAGTGACCTAGGAACAAGGGTATTATATTGACCTTCTAAAAGCCACAATTTAAAGAATTTCATAGTTTAAAAATGAACAAGGCTGGCTTCTTAAAGAGACCCTCCACTTTAATACAAAATAATTAAAATCTCTGTTCAGTAGATATGCCCCAAATAAAAACTTGCATACATTTAATTATGTATTTTTTATTGGAATCTTATATAAAAAAACGCTTTCAAAAACAGCAAATCTTTTTTTCTGCAGCATTTACAAACCTTCCTCTTTTAACCCCACCCAGTCTTTCTGAGGCTGTCCAATCACAGTCTTTCCAATGCAGCTCAATGAGAAGTCTTTGCAAGGCAGCTGCTCTGAGCAATTGCTGCCTCCTGAGTTTATCTCCACTGAGCTAGACAAACCAGGAAGTGTGATTAAAAAGCCATGGGAGTGTAACAAGGTTAAATTATAAAAGTGAAAAAAATAGGACACATTCTTCACACAGCAAGCTAAAGTGCTTTAGAGATCCAGTGTCCCTTTAACTTATAAATGGCAGAGAATAGAGCAGTGAGGCCACAGGGGCATCATCTGTACACCCAAATTGCTTGATTAAGCTAAAGTAGTTTTGGTGACTATAGTGTCCCTTTTACACGGGGTTTATAGTCTGACAGTTAATGTTATATCATTTATCAATGCTGGATTTTCTCTTTGCCCACTGCATGCCAGTGTTCATTGGTTTATGTATAAAAGTGTTCACATGTAGTACTGAGAAAGTATTAATATCTGGAATCTGAATTTGTATTTATTTTCACCTACAGAGCTTGGCTGTGCTGATTGTCCTCACTGAGACTGCTACCGCCACTGCGATATCCTGGTACCCAATCAACAAGACCGCAGCCTATCTGATGGTGCCTTACCTGGGGTGGCTGATGCTCGCCTCCACCCTTAACTACTGCATCTGGAGAGATAACAAGGACAAGTCCGAATAAGGAACAATGCTATTTCATGCTGCAATAAGGATAACCAGCAATTTTATACACAAAATCTATTTATATCGATGTTAAAATGTTAACCCTTTAAGCAACATGCATTTGTCTCAAATTTTCTTGTCTTATGTACCAGTACTATTGTTAGCGACTGCATAATATGCCAAGTGTCGATAAACCGTTTTTTATCTACAAATACCTAATTTGGTGTGATTTGTATGCTCACAATGTGTCGGATATTTTAATCCAGCAGTTAAAGTAAACGGAAACATTTGTGTCATTAAAGTTAAAATAAATGGTAATGTGTTGGACATTTGGTTCAGTTTTTAACAAAACGGATACAAAGGGAATATTTCTTTTTTTTTCGTATACATTAAATATTCAATTAAATCCTTTTGGTACAATTTGGTAACAAACCGTTTTTATCCTTTCTGTGTTGCTTCATTTTGTTTGAAATCTATTAACAATTGACAATGTCACAATCTACTCCAGGCATGGCACAGATGTGGCGAACTGCGTTGGAGGAAGATAAACCATAATAGTGCGGGAGATTTAAAGTCTTACTACCACAATCCTGCTGTAGTGGTTACAGTGATGGGAATACCCTGGCACCGTTCTCTGGTTATGGGTTTCACAATGTTCTTGTGAATCTTACCTGGTCTTGTCAGGTACAGGCTCACAACTGAAGCAGGAGATATGGCATCTGCTTTCTGCAGAGCTAAAGTTCATTCATTGGTGAGAACGTCAGCTGATCATTTTCAGCCAATTAGATTCTGTGTATTGAAATTTCCACAGAATTGGCATTAACCAGCCCAGGACTCTATTTGGCTAATGACTCCCCACTGATGCTGCCAGAGAAGGATTTATACCTCCAACAGGAGAGGGGTTAAACTTTCAAAGCAAAACCCTGTACATACAGACACCAGGACAAAGTTTAATTACTGAAGTGGTCATGGTGCCTGCAGAATATGGGGTAATCACCATGGAAACCAGTGGGCGCATTGTGCACATTCCATTGGTGACAACACTGTTTCCTGGCATCACAATGATAAATTGTGCATATGGTTTCAATTTCTCAATATGCTTTCTCTGGGCCGACTGGTGAAGAGGGCATGGCTTACAGCGATTGACAGGGAGCCAGTCCATGATTAGAGGTAAATATTGTGGCGTGGATTTTATTAATCTAACTGAATATTATCAAGTTGGAGAATTTTTCCAGATTCGTTACTTTACATTATTCTATGCAGATTTCATTTGTCAAACTTTAGTGTTGCAATACGTTGTTACTCTGAATACAATGTACTCTAGTATCACTTTGTCATTTTAATTTCCTTTAGATTGTAAGCTCCTTTGAACAAGGCTCTCACTAATTCTAGTTCCTGTAAGTAAAACCTTACTTGTTCATGTTACCAGTCACATCCACCCATTGTAGCCTACTGTAGTATCTGTTACTCCTTTAATAATAAGCTCCCTGATTCATGCCATATGATGTTAAATATCAGCAGAGATTTTATAGAGCCAAATAATGAACTTTCAAAACAATTAGAATTAAGAGAACACTATGGGTACCATAACAATTGGAATGAAGTTGCTTTGGTGTGGGGAGTTCCCAGCTCCTAGGTTACATCAAGGAGTTAAATGGTTAATGAATGTTTTAACCCCAAAGACTTCAGTCAGCTGCATGTTCATTCAAAACAGTACGAAATGTGTTTTTTTTTCCGCTCGCTGTTTTGTGAATGGGGAGCTACTGCTAGATGTCGGCTAACACTCCTCTTTAAATCCTCAGAAGAAAGAAGTAAATTCAGGGGAGAGATAACAGGTGTCTAAATGAAGATTTTGGAGATACACAGTTCCTGTTACCTCCTCACACGATTACAACTTAATTAAGTTGTTATAGTTCCAAAAATATTATTTTAAAATGTTGTTAGACATTTAGTATCAGAAGAGATGATACTGTACAGAACAAGTCTAAAAACAAAAAATGCCAAAAATAGTATTTTGCTGTAGCCTTAACAGTCAGTCACTTTAACCCCTTAAGGACCAAACTTCTGGAATAAAAGGGATCATGACATGTCATGTGTCCTTAAGGGGTTAAGCAGTGCTCTTCAACCCTCTCCTCAAGGCACAACTAAGGGATTACCTGCGTGTGTCTAAGGGGTTACGGAAAAAACAAAAAAACCTAACTTTTTCTAAACACTTTAGACACACCCGGGTAATTCCTAAATCCTGGACTGTCAGGTGTGCCTTGAGGAGCACTGACTTTAAGAACAAGTTAGGAGTGATTTTTCCATAGTTTGGATAATTGCCTGTATGGGTAATGGGGTTGGTCTCCTTTAAGGATTTCTTACAATATCAAAAAGCAGAAGGATTCCAGAATCTTTACTATTGCAGCTGGTGGTGGGACTGCAAATAGAGAGCAGTCATTAGATTGTAGAGATCCTTCCTGAAGTCAATAAGGATTTACCAATGCCAGACATCCACATTATTATTATTATCATAATTTATATGGCGCCAACATATTCCGCAGCTCACACAACGATAGAAAGGGGATATTGGAGGTAGGTGGATGTATATTGTTAGTTTTCTTGACCAGGGACACTTACTGGTGAGTTGGTCTGAGCAGAATTCAAGCCTCTGTTTCCCAGTTCTAAAGGAGTGATGATCCCACAGCACCCACTACCCGATATAAACAAACCGTGGAAGCTTCTTACATCATCCGATCCATGGCTACAGGCCACCCACGCCATTTATAGCAATACTTCCACTAATTGTAAGACCAGGGCCGTCTTTAAGGAGGGGCAAAAGGGGCAGCTGCCCCGGGCCCAGTTACTCCATGGGCCCCCTGCAGCACCTGAGGTAATCAGGGGCCACAGCCCTTTAATACTGCTCTGGACCGGGCCCTTGTAATATGGGGGTTGGCTGAATACAAACACACAGCTAGCCCCTCACACACTGCCCTGTGATCCCTTTTCTTCTCCGTGGCATGCTGGGAGGCAGTGAGGTCAGATCACTTCCTCCTCAGTGCCGCTGGGGAGGAGGCACACACCACACGGACGAGGATGCAAGCATTGTGGGGGAGAGGGACTGAGAAAGCTGATGGCAGACTCCCATCAGCCTGGGCCAACAAGCTCCCACTGGACCCCAGGGAAGCCACCTTTCTGTACCCAAAAGGTAAGGAGACAGGAGGGTGGCTAAATATGTTTTGTTTTTTTGTTTTGCTTATTTCTGATATCACTTTTATTCAAGTGTTGGTGTTTGTAATGTAACACACAGGGAATAAGTACATGTTAAAAATCCTAGAAGAACCTGACAGTTCCCTATTAAATATAAATTTAAAAAGTATTTATTTTAACATATTGCATCAAGTGTTATCAAAGGCTGTATACCATTTCAAAATGTCACTTTTGCCAAATTCTGGACCAGGGTATGTAAGAACAGAGTTGAGACATTATATTGGCCAAGGTTGCTGGGAGTTGCTGTCCAAGAGCTGCTAGAAGGCAGAGATTAAAATATGTAAATGTACACATATATATGTGTGTATCTGGCTGTGTTTATGTCCTTGTGTGTATCTGGCTGTGTTTGTCTGTGTGTCAGTGTTTCTGTGTGTATGTATACCTCATACACCTGTATGTGCACCTGTGTGTGTGTTTCGGTGTGTGTGTAAGTGTGCATCTGAGTGTGTGGTAATGCATACATCCCAGCATTTTAATGCCAACACAAATACACTCCTACATTCCATCTCTAGCACTGTACACATATACACCCCTGCATTTATACCTTTATGTATGTGTGTATCTGAGTGTGTGTGTGTGTATATACCTGTGTCAGTGTGTGTGTGTATGTGCCAGTGTGTGTATATCAAAGTTCTTGTATCTGTGTGTCAAAGGGTGTGTATCTGAGTGTGTGTGTATGTGTATGTGCCAGTATGTGTCAAGGTGTGAGCATGTGTCAGTGTAAGCATGTGTGTATCTGCGTGTTAATGTGTATGTGTATATGTGTTATAGAAATCACACCACATGCAAACAGACCCCTGCAAACACAAACATTACAAACACACCAGTTTGCTGAAACACTAATACTACACACAAATGTACACATGTATTTAAAAGACAACACTACATCCAAACACCCCCTGCATGCAAATACAAACATTACATGCAAACACATTCCTGTATTAAAACGCTAAAATTATATACAAACACCAACTCTACACACAAAAGTACACCTGCATTTAAAAGCCAACACTACAAACAATCACACATCCCTGCATTAAAATGCAAACACTACACACAAGTACACCACTGCATTCCAATGGTAACAGTACATACAAATACACTCCTACATGCACACATACACTCTATACAATAACATGCTGACATTAATTTGCACAAACACTGCTCAAAAATACAACCCTGCAAGGATGGTAGATCCCCAGCTGGCATAGCATCGCAGGAGTTGTATGACAGATGGGGATCTATCTTTTCTTTACTCTTGTGCTACAGGGCAGGCCTGAATTTTTTTTTGTTGCACCAAGGCACTCTCTACATTAGTTTCGCCTCTAGGTTGGGGTGGAGGGAGTGATTGCATGCCCAGGGGGCCCAAACAGATGCTTGCCCAGGGTCCAATCAATATTAAAGACGGCCCTGTGTAAGACTTAGAGTCTTTATATTAAATACACGGTAAAGGGTACGATTAAAGGTCATTATATTAAATAGGCATTAAAGGATAAGATATAGGGTCTTTATATTAGGCGTTAAGGGTAAGATATAGGGTCTTTATATTAAATAGGCATTAAAGGGTAAGATATAGGGTCTTTATATTAAATAGACAATAAAGGATACAATATAGGGTCTTTATATCAAATAGGCAATAAAGGGTAAGAAATAGAGTCTTTATATTACACAGGCAATAAAGGGTAAGATATAAGGTCTTTATAATTAATAGACGCTAAAGGGTAAGATATACGGTAAGATACGATGTACAGTCTTTATATTAAATAGGCAGAAAGCATCACCCTTATTTATTTTTTTTAAACCCCAATATGAGGATGAAATAAAAAAATCAATCAAATATAAAACATTGCAGCCATTTCATAGTCGCTGCAGACTTGCAGTAAACAATGGAAATTCAGATGTAAATCTCTTTAATGCGTAGAAAACAAATAAAAATAATGAAATACATACTAACTCTCTAGGTTACAAACAGGAAGCAGCTGGGGCCCGCCAGTCAATGCCTGACATTTCTCTTTAGTGTGCTCAGTGCCTTACCTTAAGAAAACAATGGCGTTCACCTGCACCAGACAAATATCAATGAGTCACTTCGAGCTGTGTGGAGCTTACTTGGAAAGGAAATGGGAAGCAAGCACAGTATACGCTCTTTAAACTAGTGCTGGTGAAGAAGGAAAGATGCGCGTGTTTATTCTAAGACCCATTTATT